TTTCATGTCGCTTGAATCAGCAACAACGTTGCTTTTCGGCATGATGTGTGAACAAAGGTGTGCTTAAGTATCGCTTGAAGATATTTTAACGATGGAAAGAGAGAGAAAATAAATTCATTGCATGAAACAACAAAAAAGACAGTATGCAATGTTATCGGGCCGTTTTGTCTGCGAAAGAGCGACCGACGTTTTTTGTATGATGACGCGTATATAAAGTTGTTGACAGCGCAACTGATTACGTTTCAAAGCAAGAAAAACGAACGTCAAGGTGAGTCTGTGAAATAAAACAGATGAATGAAAAGCTCCTAGATGACTTTACAGTAGAAAGTTGCATATCCTTTCTGTATTCTAATCTAATAGATCAATTTTGTTGCAGCAATAGAGCACAGGTTAATATTTCTATCCACCAAAAAGGGTTGATATATATACTGCTTTGAATTAACTTAATCAGCTTCAACTAAAAACTGTAAAATCCCGATAGTTCCACAAAAGATCATAACGCAATCTTTTGGAGATTCGGACGTAAAACACGATGGAAAGGTTCATGTTGTAAGCAAAGATGTCTAAATTCATATCGTTCGATTGGTGAGTTACTATTCATTATTAATTTGTGTCCATAACGAAAGAAAATAGTAATTGTAATATATCATCAGAAATCTGACAACAGGAAGAGCGGCTGGCATTTCATGTCCCACTTCCATCTCACATATCATGACAAATGCTTTAATGCTGATGAGGAAAGGACAATTATGAGCAGTGTGCAGTTCATCTTTCTCGCTACAAGATTTAGTTCTGATCCACAATTAAGTCGTATTACCTATCGATTCCGTGACTGTGTCCATCAGATTTACAACGAAGGGTCCTTACTTTTTGCTCTTTTCTTCAAAATTCGCGTTGAATCGTGTGTCATAAAACATTTTGTCCATAGTGGAGGTCGAATCGATGATGTTTTATGTAATATGCTGACTGGTTAAGCGGTAGAAGATCGATTGATCATTTGTTGGCTTCCCATAATTGAAAACGATCTGTTATTGTTCAAAAAGTGGGTACGAGTTTTTGAACTTTTGTATCTTCAACCTGCAATATTTTCTTGTGTACCTGCTCTATTACGAGTTCAGTTGTAAAGCCGTAACGCAGCCTTTGAGTGTAACAAATACTTAACATGATTAGTTTTGCTTTTTTTAATCCTTTCTGTGTTGATTTGTTATTCAAATTTTGAGAATAGAAACGAACTATTTGTTATGTCACTCAGGTCAAGATGATGCGGTATCAGAAAGCTAAGAAGCTGATGCCTGGTGGTGTAACTAGAAAAAAATTCATAGGAAACTGAGTCCCTTTGAGTGTGTCTCCAGAGTGATTGCGATCCATAGTCACGTCTATAGTGGGCCCAAGCCGTTTAAAGCGAGATCCACCCGTCTGTAGGGGCTCAAGCCTTTCCAAGGGAAAGAATGGAGGGCTAAGCAGAAGGTGTGTGGTTCGATTACCACGAAGCGCATGGTTACCCAGGTCAGATACGGTCGGTCGTACACGACTGTATACCAGCCTATTACGGCAGAAAACAGTGATTGTTTCCAACAACCGTTTCCAGCAATTATAAACAATACTTTATGTCGGATGATGACCATTGTAAACATTTCCGATGAAAGATGACCATAAACGACTACCATAAAAATACAGCGACTGGATAAGTTGTTCGGAAAAAATCGAAGGACGTCGCATACACCAACTGTCTACAGTACTTCGTCACGGTAATCGTAAACGACATGTCCCGGTGTATTACGCCGGTATGACCGAATGGTTAAGATGTTTGACATATTTCCACAAGATACTGTGTTCGAATCTCGGCTCCAGCAGTCATAGAATGACCTTAGACAAGCCACTAACGGTTGTTTTGTCTCGGACCACCCATCCGATAATAAACTGACTACTTCGTTGACATACACTAAAAAGCCCTTGTGGCTAGTCAGTATGTACGGGGAGCTTAAGTAATTAAGCGAGAAGAACTCTGAGTCAGGCTGGCCTTCTGTCCAGAGCTACATTTAGTAACAGATGTAGGAAAATATCAGGCTCCTCGAAAATGTCCTCGGACAGCACCCTATACCGCAAGGTAGCCGAATGACGGGGTATTCTTCTTCTTCTTCTTCTTCCGGTGTATTACGGCAATCGGACAGGATCACAGACAACAGTCACCGTTCACAATCAACGTGAAAATACGGCAATCTATACATCCATAGGATCGAGTACCATAAACCGCAGTATACGAGGGGGTGGGTGTGAGTGGGAGTGCGGATGTAGCTGTGGGTGTATGTGAGGGCGTGGGCGTGGGCGTGGGCGTGGGCGTGGGCGTGGGTGTGGAGTGTCGGTATGAGTGTCTCTCCCTTCAACACTCACACTGATAGCCACACACACCCTCACTTATTTTAGCCCTGTGGCGATTCAGGTCAAATCAGCACGATCGTAAACGACCGTTTTAGACAGTTTTTCGCACGTTTCGTATGTGCAGTATTACGTCCGTATCTCACCGCGTTGTAAACTATGGTAAAATGTCATATACTCGATTGTACGACCGTTTTTAACTGTGTACGGCACGACAAAACACGGCCGCAATACTGCGCACACGAAACGTCAATTTACAGTTACTTTAGCATGGTAAACTGTATAAAGCGACAGTATACTTACCGTTTTTGACCGTCTCGACCATCGTAAGCATTGTCCTGGGGATAACTTGAACGTATCGATCAATGTCAACGTTGACTTACAAGGTGCCTGCCACGGACTCTAATAGATGCCACCGTAGGTTATCAGAGTCTTTGGTACCCTCTGGACCCCATCTAGGAGTGCACCAAATTACATTTTTCTATATAAAGATTACAAATTTTCAGTATAAAGACCCACCAAATCCAACCAAATCTTTATGTCGATTATAACCAGTTTTATTCGTTTTCACCAAATTCTAGCAAATCTTAGAAGTATCTTGGATAGATTTGATCATTTTACACCATTATCGAGTAGAGCAAATAAAACTGGTTATACTCGACACAAAGATTTGATTGGATTTGGTGGATCTTTATACTGAAAATTTGCAATCTTTATATAGAAAAATAGAATTTGGTGCACCCCTATAGAGGATAGTACGATTTGCAAAAGCAGTTACAGATGCATTATTGTACGATACGGACATGTTAACTTCAATATCATTGAGCGGAAATCTGACGAAACCAGCGGCAAGTAGAGAGATCCAGGCTAGTGAAGAGGAGAATGAGTCTACATTCGGTATGTCTTATTGGAGGATGGTTTTATGACTTTCGGGTGGCCTAGAATCTGTTTTAGTTGTACATTTCTTAACGACCACCTCCCTTCCAGCACAAGGCATTGAGAAAAGGCCATTCTGTGCCATTGTTTCAGATTCATGTCGCCAAACAAAATTCTGTCGTTCTAAGAACAATTTCAGCAATGATCAGTCCGTGACTTCCGCTATTTTAGTATAAACTGGGAAAATGCCAAGAGCACAAAAGGACATTCTCAAGGATCTATGCACGTATGATACGTCAATGGCTCAGGACATGGATCGTCTGCCACACGACTGTTACATGATCTTGGTTGGTCGATTGAAGTCCAAAAAGCACCTGCAAATGTTGCTTGAGATGAATGGATCATATGGGAAATCATCGTCGTCAGACGAAGACGAAGGACAGGCTGAGTATAATGAAAATCAGACTGACTTTTTGGCACTGGAAAGCGAACAGGTAGAATCATTTTTGGAACACATGGAATTATTAGAAGAGGCCGAAAAACTCGAAGATGAGCGCAAAAATCATCTCGTATATGAAGACAATTTCAACTCTCATTTGCTTGACATGGTTGTTGCGGGTTCGTCATACGAGAAGCTCAAACAAGTTTGTCTTAAATATGAATACCGCGAAAATGCTAGTATGAAGAAAGTAATGGCCGAACATGAAGATCGTGTGAGTCAGTCGCAATCCTACTTTACTGGAAAGAAATTACCGCTGGACGAAGCCCAAGCCATGGCGTTCGCCATTTCCTTTTATACAGGTACAAAAAGTGAAACATGTAATCGCGGTGCCAGTCTTATTGCCCGCAAAGCTAATGGGCAAGTGCTGGATGCAGATGTCGAAAAAGAAATTAGCGAAGCATCTATTATTCTCTACTACCTGGTCAAAGCACTTTCCTACATTCCTTTCTACTGGGGTTGGGTTACGCGAGCTTGTAACCTTACGTTCGCCGAAATTTCACTTTATAAGCCTGGCACTTTGATCACATGGATTCAGTTCAGTAGTTCGACGAAAGGCAAAAATATAGTGAATAGCGACGCTTTTAAAGGACGAAATGTACTTTTTAAAATCTATTCGTTAACCGGTCGTCCCATCAAACAATTTTCGAATTATCCCGAAGAAGATGAGGTTTTGTTTCTACCGCATTCGACGTTTTTTGTTTTCAATCGCAAAGTATTTTATGGACAGGGAGCAGAGGGACAGGGAAGACAGGTAGTCTATATGCGACAAGTTGAACTGGGTCTATGTCAATGGTCGGTGCTCTGGGTCGATGACCGAATATACGATGAAAAATGGCAAAACAAGGCAGACATGGAGTATGCAGCTATCAGAGCCCTTGATAAAAACGTGCATTTTATTCCAAAATCAAACACTGACAACGCTCTCTCCTTTCTACGATCTACGCTCGGAAAACGTTTGAAGAATCAAGAAAACTTTCGCATTGTCACTGACATGAATCGTGAAAATGAATCACCCACTCATAACGCAGGGGCGCGATTCATCAAAGCAATGCGACAGCTGGGATTTAGAAACAAGTGCCTCGTTTTTACATTTGACCAAAGCAGAGCAGAACAAATTCTTCAATCGGAATTGACCTCCAGGGAGCGCGAATTCGTTTTTGTGTCTGTACGAACCGAGGACTTGCGGTCTTTTGTCAATTTCGACCAGGAACCAACGCGTGCACAACAATCAAAAGCTGAAAGTTCAATGAAAACGAAGAAAACACAAGCCTCATCCTATCTGAGTAAGTTTTAAGAGTCAATTTCCGACAAACTCAGACGTTTTCGGATGCCGACGGTGGAGTTACATCTCCGATTTCGCTCATTCTTTAAGGCCACCCCCCCCCCCCCCCTCAAAAATCGATCTCAGCTCTGGAACATCGAGATAGCATGAAACTTTGGGGATATGTTGGGGGTGTAAAAATACGTCTATGATAAAATTTTCAGCCTCCTATCCTGATGTATTAAGTAGATACGAACCAAACAAGGGTCGAAAAATGGCTTATCGTAGCCCTCAAAAATCTCTATGGGTGTTCATTCAATATGGTTCATTGTTTTTTCATTTGAAAGAGCATGTCAGGATGCAGTGCCTATGAGGGGCCTTTTTTTTAAATTCTTATCTTTAATAAGAAAAAAGGGTTCACAAATTCTATCACTCAAAAATCTCTCAAAAAAATGATGCTTATATTATAAAATCGGTTTTCAATATAATAATAGGAAAGCTTTATCAAAAAAAGGGCCCTCATAGGCTCTGCAGTTTTTGATGCTCTTTCAAACAAAAAAAAAATATTTGACTTTATATCGGATTATAATTAACTTTTGGTGGGGCTACGTAGTTCGACCACCATTTTGAGAAAAAACGAAAAAGATTTTTGGACTTTTCGAAAAACCGCTGGTTTTTCGAATAGGAATCGTCAAAAATATTGAAAATTTTCCGGAAAAAAGGAGGTATCGAAGAAAAGTTTTTATCGTTTATGAAAGAGCAAATGACAGGCTATCTCCTCGTGTATTTATCTCAATCTTGACCATTCTGACGAAAACTAACTTTTTTGAGGGGGGGGGGGTGGCCTTAATATGTTGAAAAGGGCGCTGAGTTATGGATATTCTGAAATTTTCAGGTCGATTGGGTAAGTTTTGCGAGAGTACCTGCTGTGACAATTTTCAATTTTTGAGTTATTCATTTTTCATCGTTTTTTTCGATATTTTTGAGACAAAGGACCCTGACGGATTTCGTGACCTCCTTGAACCAATAAGTGAAATATGTAGTTTTGTAGAGCAGCTCGTGGCGCGTCGAATGGTATATAGCAAGTCGTATTTTCATTAAGCTATGGCCTTGTTAAGGTCTATATACCGGCTGAAAATGAGGATATCACTCTAGAAAGTAGTACTCCTATTATGTCCTCACTTCGACCTCTCTGAAACTCTTTCTAAGACATAATGTGATAGAGCTTGAATTGCTCTTCAAGCTCGTGCATTTGATACCGCTCTTTGGTGTCTCTTTGGTAGTCGAAACAGGTCATCTTCATCGTCATCCCTTGATTTTCGGTTTTCGAGCAAAGGACGGGGAACGCTTTGTCCACAAAATAGTGGCTATCCCGCAGAATTTCGATAGTGTGGTCTTTGAAAATTTTCGAGCACAGCAAATCTTTCTTTGTGATTTATGCTTTTTTTATAGGTCTTAAAAACTTCTATCGGTACAGAAAAAATGACGATAGTATCTTGTTCGATAGTCCAGATCGCCTGGACCATCCTATATCACACATTGATTATCACATGGAATTTTGATAGCGGGACCTTTGGAAATTTTCGAGCACGGCATATTTCCCTTTACAGTTTATGATCATTTTGTAGCTCTTAAAAACCTCCATCGGCACAGAAAAAATGACGCTCTCATCATCGAGTATGCCTGTTATCAGATTAGCGCTACTATGCTATTCCGAGTCGAAGTCTATTACTGCGAGACGCGGAGAGCAGCTGATGAGATATGGTTGAAAGTGCTATGAGTAAATGGTCTGGACGAGTCAAACGCAGTTTAGAACCGCAAGAGAAACTTCAGAAAGGAAGATGAGAAGGTTTTTAGAAGTGATTTTTATTTAGGGCCATTTTGTGGACAAAGCGTCCCCCGTCCTTTTGAACTACTGTCTGTCCAAAAATAAAATGGTCTCCACCATTTTTTGAATAACTTTAGAACAGAAGCAGCTAGCGAGCTGCAGTTTTCATCAGTCTAAAGAAGAGATATCGGGATGTCTTTGTCTCCGATATTGTATAAGAAGAAACTATTTTAAAATCCACTGTTTTTGTGAAACGTCGCAAAAATGTACAAAAATAATCCGTCATTAAGATGAAATTTTCTCAAAAAAATCAGAAAATTTGCTTAAAAACTAAGAAAAATTCATACTTTTTCAATGAGTAAATTGAGAATTTGATGTGCTTTACCTTAGAATGTGTGAAGATAATCGTTCGAATTATGTCTTAAACTATAGATATGAAGTTCCTCTACCTAAATAACATATCAAAATCAAAATTTCATCTAAATGGTAAGCCGTTTTCATCCATATTTTCCAATGTTTTGCAGAAATAATTGTTTTGAAAAAGATATCGTCTCATATATCATCAGAGAAAAAGATGCCCCAGCATCGCCTCTTTCGACTGATGAAAACTGCAGCTCGCTAGCTGCTTCCATTCTCAAATTATTCTGAAAATGGCGGAGACCATTTTAATTTTCGACAGACAGTGGTTTCAGGAATGTGAATATAAAATCGTACTTTCCCGTTCATAATAAGCCGTGAAGTGAACTGCAACTTTTGGTCGACCATATTTTCAATATTTGATTTTTGTGCTTAAAGAAGTGAAAATGAATGTCCCCAATTAGCAGTATTTTTCGAACATGTGACTTGATTTACGTGTAGAAAATCACCCCATGAAAATTCTGAAAATCTGTCCGGTCAAAAGTTGCGCGCATGTGTCAACTTTAATTTGAAATTAATCTGGACTCCATATTTCGCAGCCCCTATGACTCTTACGGATTTTCTCACTGTTAATGAAAATCTCTCTAGCTCCAGAAAACCTGAGTATTTCTGGCTGAAATTTTAACTGTAATAGTTAGAGCTAAAATCTAGTCATTTCTGAACGTTTCAGCACCATCGGAATCAAAATGTGCAAAATTCATTCTGAAGGGAGAGCCCCTTGATCATTGATCGCTTAAAAATTGAAACAGCATTTTGAAAACGTTCTTTGTCTATTTCCTCGTTGCTTTCTTTTTCTTACGCTACATTCGCATGCTTTCAGGTGAGCACATGTTGTTGATAACAGACAATTGGTACTAGAAATGAATGAGTCACTTCACGTACAAATTAAAAGCAAATAACAATGATTTTCTAGCAGGTGTTTGATGAATCTGGCAGCAACAGATAAACTATTATTTTGCCCTGTGACGGTCTCTGATTCTCACTTGAATGCTATCCTAGAAAATTTTTCAACTGGTGACTTTTAAAGCCGCTGTTAACATGTCGCTCATGTTTACGAAGAGTCATCATATAGATGACGAACGAGTTGAAAACACTCGCACAATGTGATTGGAATCGGACAAACAGATAATTTTGAATTTAATCGCAAATAAAAGTCGTTCGTCTTCCCTTGAAACATGATGATGCCTTGTTCTTCATCGATCTTTTTCAACTCTTCTAGGTACTAATGACAACTTCTACGGATCAAGCAATGTTACTGCAAAAGCACACCACGGTGCAACTGCTAGCAGCTATACTCAACCTTACGCTGATCCGAGCGATGATATGATGCACAACCGCATGAATACAGATATCGATATTCTCATCAGAAATTGTAAAAAGAAAAATTTGGCAAGTGCCCGTAATAAGTAAGTATTCACTCAGAGGGGTAAAGGATGACACGGTAAGAATCTTTTCCATCGCAATGCTCTGACCACTTTTGAAAGAAACTCAATGAAAACAATCGATTTCTGACGCATATGAGAAAATTGTGCACTATCCCAGGTCAATGATTTCGGCCTCCGGAATCTTCAGGAACCGGCCGGAAACGGTGTATTTTCCGGTCTCTTCCCGCCGTTTCCGGTGTCTTCCCCGCCGGAAACGAGCGGAAAAATACCCAGAACATGGAAGCAGTATTCCGGCCGGAAATTTCTCGTACCAGAAAACGCAGCGTTCCGCGAATTTCCCGCTGACGAAAACCTACGGGAAAAAAGTAATAATCCGCAGGAATCTACCGGAAACCGTCAAGGAACGAACCGTTTCCTACCGGAAAACTCTGAAGATCCGCTCCTCACATCTTTGAAAGACCTTTGAAAGTATTTGAAAGACCTTTGAAAGATCTTTCAAAGGTCTTTCAATTACTTTCAAAGATCTTTCATAGATGGGTGCGGATGTGGGTGTGGGTGTGGATGTGAGTGTGGGTGTCAGTGTGGATGTGGGTGTGTGGGTATGATGTGTGGGTGTGTGGGTATGATGTGTGGGT